AATAGTGAGTACGATATCGTCTAGCAAAACGATGTGGCTTGTTAACAAACTCAAGTATCCGTGCTGGTCATCGAGAACGGGGTCATCGACGACAGACCCACGACGAGTGTGCCGTACTTTGCCAACATCAATGTCGAGAATTACTATCCCATCACATCTGCACCAGAACCATTCATGCAGAACAAGACTTGGATGGTACATTTAGGCAATGTTGTTGGAGGCGGTTCAGTCGTCAACGGCATGCAGTGGGATAGGGGCTCTGATGCGGATTACGATGCATGGGAGCAGTTAGGAAACCCAGGTTGGGGATATGAAGGCCTAGCAAAATACTTCAAAAAGTCCACTCACTTTGATGGCCCTTCAGAAGCGGTTCGCCGTCATTTCAACATGACGTTCGATGCTAATGCGTAGGTGCACAATACCGTTTCCACAAGGTCGTAGCTAATTCGTTCTCAGGTATGGCGACGGGCCAGTCAAGGTATCGATACCCAACTACCAGTATGAAGACTACGTCGACATCATGGGGTCTTTCGTATCTAGGACCGACATACCTCACTCGCCAGAAGGCTTTAGTAGACCCATTGGCACATTCTGGACGCCAAGCTCCATTGACAACTCGACTAAGCAGCGCAGCCATGCTCGCAGAGCTTACTACGATCCTGTTCAAACACGCACCAACTTGCATCTTTTGACCAACACTCACGTGGACGAAATCTTGTTCAAGAATGGTAGTACGCTTGTAGCCAGCGGTGTTAGGTATACGTCCAACGCCGACTCCTCCATAGGATCTGTACACGCAACGAAAGAAGTCATCCTGGCAGCTGGAGGCGTCTTTACACCACACCTGCTCATGTTATCCGGAATTGGTCCCAAGGACGAACTATCTGCCGCTAAGATCACTGTGAAGAAAGACCTTCCGGCTGTCGGTTCGAACTTCCAGGATCATCAAGCCTTGTACATGCGTTTCAACCTCTCAAATCAGTCCGTTCCGAATCCAGACATGCTCGTTACGACACCCGACCCTGCTTTCAACGCCACAGCTGCCGAGCTGTATGCTGCTAATCGCACTGGACCGTGGACCTTTGGGCGAGGCAATGCAGCGCTCTTCCTTGCATTCAAAGACTTTTCCGCTAAGTATGCTGATATAACTGCCATTGTCTCTGGACAGAATGCAACTGCATACTTACCGCAACGCTACTCGAAGATCGACACTCTGCTGAAGGGCTTCATAGCACAGCGCAAGATTCTGGTCGACCACTATCTCTCCGACTATGCAGCGACCGGCGAATACCCGATCCAACCTTGGGGTCGAGCGACTACTGCCGTGCAGAAGCCTCTCTCCCGAGGCACTCTCTCCCTCAACACTACGAATCCATCGGCGAACCCGATCGTCGTTCGAAACGCATTCCAAAACCCAGTCGATAAGTTAGTTCTTGGCGAACCGGTGCGGTGGAACAGGCAGCACTGGACCACCGCGCCCCTGCTCCAGCGCTTCGCCCCCGTCGAGACCGTGCCAGGTGCGCAATATCAGACTGATGACGAGATCTTTGACGCCAGTATCAAAGCAGCTGCCTTGGATCCAACCTACGCTCATTCAAGCGGCGCATGTGCGCTTATGCCCGAAGAGTTGGGTGGTTGTGTCGATCCACAATTGAGGGTCTACGGAGTAGAAAGGCTGAGGGTCGTAGATGCGAGCATCCTGCCCTTGATACCGGCGGCGCACTTGCAGGCAACGATGTATGCTGTTGCCGAGAAAGCCGCAGATATAATCAAAGAGAGTGAAAAGGCGTAAAGATGGACAGGAGCAGAAAGATGTTATTCTGATGATCTTTCGATGTTGAGTGAAGTCGCAGTTGGCCTGACAGCCGCATCTTGTAGGATCTGCTACAATCTCACATCGAGTGGATACGCCTTCTGTAGACCTTGATGACACTAGAAACATTTGAAGATAAGTCCAGAGCTAGCTGGCATAAGACAAAAAAAGGCGAGCTTCCTCGTAAAGTTAGTAATATAACCGGTCCGGTGGGACGCTTGCTAACCTCATGTACGCTAGCGCTATGCAAACTTCGAGTGAAAATGCTACTCGACCCTCAGGTTCCCCCGCACGCCACCAATCCGCTACAAGCAAAATGACGTGCTCCGTTGCATACACTGCGAAATTAGCCAACGATGCAACGATCGCCGGCTTGCGCGCGGACTGTTGGTAAGACGCTCGTTATCCACTAAGAACACTCAAGCTTCGCCATGAAAAGCTTCCATGCGCCAGCCTCTGAGCTTCGTCTCTTGCATTGCAGCATACTATCACGGTAAACTTCACCTACGATATGGCGACCGCGGATCCTGAGAAGGCGCCTCATGATGTCGCAGCATCACCCGACTCGTTGGACCGGATTCAGTCTCACTTCGTCAATGAGGATCGCTTGCGCCGCTCTCTCAGCGCCCGGCAGGTGCAGATGATCGCAATCGGAGGCACCATTGGAACTGGCCTATTTCTGGGTACTGGAAAAGCTCTCGCAACTGGTGGACCGGCTTCGCTACTCATCTGCTATTCTATCGTCGGCTTCATCGTCTTCTGCACCATGTTATCGCTCGGCGAAATGGCCGCCTTCGTTCCTGTCGCGGGCTCCTTCTGCACGTTCGCGGGTCGCTACGTGGATGATGCGTTTGGTTTTGCGCTGACATGGAACTACTGGTTCAACGATGCTGTTAGCACCGCCGCAGACCTGGTGGCTTTACAGTTGTTGATACAGTACTGGAGCGATAGCGTCCCGTGGTATTCCGTGGGTATAGCGGTGTGGGTGCTTATCGTTTTGGCGAACATCATCAACGTCAAGGCATACGGCGAGCTGGAGTACTGGCTCAGTCTGCTGAAGGTGGTAACCATCATCATCTTCATCATCCTCAGTATTGCCGTCAATGCGGGTGGCAACACCGATTATGGGTACATTGGAGGAAAGTATTGGACTATCGGAGATGCGCCCTTTGTGGGTGGCATTGGTGGCTTCGCATCAGTTTTTGTCACGGCATCTTTTGCCTACGGAGGAACCGAATCGATTGCAATCACCGCTGGAGAGACGCGTGATCCAGCACGTACGCTTCCTAGGGTTGTAAAGAACGTCTTCTGGCGCATTTTGCTCTTCTACATCCTGACGGCCATCATGATCGGATTTAACATACCGTACGACTACCCAGGACTTTCGACCAAGTCATCTCGCACATCACCTTTCACCATCGCATTCCAAATGGCAGGCTCGAAAGCAGCTGGATCTTTCGTCAATGCGGTAGTCTTAACCAGTGTCATATCTGCTGGTAATCACGCGCTGTACGCTGGCTCGCGATTGCTCTACACACTCGGCGCGAACGGACATGCACCCAAAGTGTTCACGAAGCTGACACGTTACCAAGTTCCATGGGTTGCAGTCATAACGACAAGCTTGGTGTCTATCGTGCTTTTCTCCCTATCCTTTGCAGGCTCTGGCCAGGTTTGGACATGGCTGCAGAATATTGTAGGTGTTTCGAACCAGCTAAGCTGGATCTGCATTGGTATCTCCTCGCTGCGTTTCCGCGCAGGTCTCAAGGCTCAAGGAAAGGAGCACCTGCTGCCCTTCCGAAACTGGATGTACCCTTGGGGTCCGATCATCTGCGTGGTTCTGAACTCTTTCATCGTCCTAGTGCAGGGATGGTCCTCATTCAGCCCCAAGTTCGCCGCCGTAGATTTCGTCAGCTTCTACCTGGAGCTACCAATATTCCTATTGATGATCGTCGTTTGGAAGCTATTGAAGAAGACGAAGTTTAGGAAAGCGAGTGAAATGGACCTCGAGACGGATGTCTACACTAAGGAAGATATGGAGCCGGCTGAAAAGGGGTGGAAAGGCAGAAGCAAGAGGATCGGGACATGGTTTTGTTTTTGAGGGCCCACTTTCGGGCCAGCATATATGAGAGTATCGCGTATGTACCGTTATTATGAACTAATGTTAGTAAAGTGACCAGCGAACTCTAGACATACGTTGACACTAAGACCACTAGATTTGCTTCTACTATAGCCTCTCGAAGCCGTTCTCCCCGACGGTAATGTGATCGATAAATGCTTACAAGATGGATCACTAGCTAGAGCTGTTCATCGCTTCCAGGCGGAATTCCAGAGACTAACAACACCAAAGATGACGGATAAGGATACAATACCTAGGTATGAGCTTCATAAATGCTCGTCAATGTTCTGTGACAGTGCTAGACGCTCTATAACGCTCCAGGACGCGTCTTCAGCCTCACAAATGTAATAAGACTGGTAAATGTGGATAGTAGGGTGTGATTGGCAGGTCTCAGTTACCTCGGCTAGGGGCGAGTGGTCTTTCTCATGCAATGAGGTAACGAACACGATGAGGCAGCGCAGCTGCCGGCCACGAATAAGAGGACGATAAAATTACAAGCCCTCGCTTGCCTGCGACCATGAATGGCTCCGGACGATTGGTCGGCTTTCATGGCCTTTCGTAAACCGCTATCAGCGAGGACCTTCGGTCTCAGCTGAACTTATCAGTGACGTGGTCAGGCTCTAGTCAATAAATACGACGTCCCCCACGACATTTCCTGCTGATCGCGTCTTCTTTAAGCCTGCTCAGCTTGTTCCTTCGAACCACACTAATTGAAGGCCATTCCGCGTTACTGTGATGGCCAACAACTTTCGTTACGAGCCACTAGTTGGGTCATACTCGACACGAGTAATAACACTCTTGCCCAGCGCTTCAAGGGAAGACAAAATTGAAGTTAGCATTGCAGAAATAGATCTTGAAAGGTCGCCGTCATACGAAGCGTTGTCATATGCATGGGGAGATCCCTCGCAGAGAGTCGCTCTCCAATGCCATGGGAAAGATCTGCACGTCACACCAAACTGCGAAAGTGCACTGCGGCATCTGCGGCAAGACAGCGGCGTTAGGACACTATGGGTGGATGCGATTTGCATCGATCAAAGTTCAATTGACGATCGAACTCAGCAGGTTCGCATCATGGGTGATATTTACTCGAAAGCAAGTCTGGTCCTTATCTGGCTTGGGCCTGCTGTTCCAGGAAACTACTCTTTGTTCGGATTTCTTAACGAATTTGAGAGTCTAAGAAGCGTGGATCAAGAGACTCAAACTCTCTTATCAACACAGATCTATCAGGTCGTCCAAGGTAATGATTGTTCCCAGCTTTCATCACCCACCTATTTCGACACTAACTGTACTTTGTAGCGAGTGCTCTACTGGAGTCTTTCAAAACCATGTATCAGCGGTCATGGTTCCAGCGTATTTGGACTCTCCAGGAAGTAGCGTTAGCCAAGGATTCCTTGGTTATTTGTGGCGATTCGAAAATCTCCTGGTCGCTTCTTGTGTACGCCGTAGATCAACTTAGGGCGGCAGAGAACAGTACTGGTGTCTACGGAGACTTCTCTACGTTCAACTCTGCGATATCCGCGCACCAGATCATGGTACAGAGTCTTCTGCCAGGACCTCAAATCAGTTCGGCTATGAACCCGAATCCGGATAGCCCAATCACGCAAATCCTAGTAATGTCTCTCCGTAGACGCGCTACCGAACCCAAAGATCATATATTTGGCTTGTACTCCATACTTCAACGACTGGGTGCCAACCTGCCTCCTCCGGACTATGAACGAAGTACCAACCAGATATTTACCGAAGCTGCAAGGCTAGCCATTGAGAAAGACAACAGTCTTTGGATTCTGGATTTTATTGACGGTATTGAAGAGAAGCAGCACTGGCCATCATGGGTGCCAACCTGGGTCCAGATGATGGGTCCAGGCCCCATAGAAGTGAACGCACTCCATCCCGGTGCCGCTGGGGACTCTCGACCGCGATATGAATTTTCAGAAGATAGTAGACGTCTCACCCTTCGCGGCAAGATTGTGGATAAGATCATGATGAAAGCAGAAAGGTCGCCTTGGTTTGGTGTCCGGTACCAGTTGGATTGGGAGGACATGCATATACCCGCTCTTCAGGAGAGGGAAAACTCCATCAAAGCCTTCCAAGAGTGGATAACAGTTTTTCACGTCTTCAAAATGATGGCGCGGAACACTCCAGCGAACAGATACGGGGACGATTCACAGCATATCATCGCCTTCATCCGTGTATTACTGCAAGACTTTACAGTTGTACCTGATAGCGTGAGGAATGTTCATGAACTATTGCGCGGGTTCACCAATTGGCAACTTTATCTCAGTGCTACGAATCCTGGTTCGAGCATGCCGATGCCTCAACTCATGGCTAGGCTCGAGCCACCGTCGTACGATCCATCCTCGCTACCTGAATGGCTTAGTGATCTCACCAAGACAAACGAGTGGAATATATATGAAGCTATTCAGCAAGATCCTTCAGCGGCACTGTTTCATGATCACGTCGAGCTTGGTACTCGCGCCAAGCTGTTTTTCGTAACAGAAAACGGATATTACGGTACCGCATCAGCGACTATAGAATGCAACGACTATGTAGTCCTCGTCTCCGGTCTCCAAGTACCACTGATAGTAAGACCCACTGAAGAGGGAGCGGGTCATTACAAACTCCTGGGGCCAGCTTTCGTGCATGGTATGATGAGTGGCGAGCTTTGGCCAGAAGCAGAAGAGGATTTGATGGATCTCACGATAGTATAACCACCCAAGGCTTATGCCGTTCTTCTCTCTATCGAACACAACTTCAGTATGCCTGTGCGATACCTTCCTGAGCGTAGTTCCTTACAGCACGATATCGGGTAACAAGAGATTATGTTGATTTAAAAGACCTGAGATGAATCGCTGTTGAGCTATAATAGCCAATACTAGGTATTTATGCCCTGAGCTGAGTCAGGCTGGGCCGTTCTGGTTTATGTCCTGACAGAAGCATCCTAAGGCCGGTCGCGTAATAACATAGCCCCGGCTTATTGTGCTATGCGACACCCACTAATTTATACAACCAAGCTTGTACCTTCCCGAGGCTCGTCTAGATCTCATGTTACAAGTGTTCACTATGATTAATGCTCATCTGCTAACAAAGTGAACAACAGCGCGTGTTCTTAAGGTACACGACGAATCTTCTGGTATAGTGAAAGTGTCGTCGCGCTCGGCGCGGATGCATTGTTTCGATATACCTGACCGTCGAACGCTGAACTACATGACTTCGATAGTCATGCTAGATCGCGTAGCTGGCAAATTGGTTGAGGAATCCTTCGGTTTCGGCATTGATGAGGGCTGTAGGACGACTTACCATCACACCAGATTTTGCCTGTCGCAAAGCGTCAGCGCGTGGTCCCGGTGTGACCTATGTGGCGCCCAGCACAACACTACGCCTACACCAACCGGCGAATTTTAGCCACGCATTGCATTGCTTGTCGCAGCCAAATCCAGATATCTGCAAGCAGGATCTAGGAGTTGAAACTCACAGCCCAGCCACAACGGGACGCCTACTTGGCGGGCGCCAACCATACTGGGATAGGACAAGTGTCTTTCCCTGTTCAACGCTGTTCGTGCTGCAAAGTTCCGCCCCGCATATCGCCTAAACCCCAAATGCATTACCGTGCCTCATGCACCCACTCACAGCCATCGAACGCGACTAGGATGTCGAGATAGATGGGCGTAGTTAAATGACACGATAGTTGGGGTCCAAAAGACAAGTCCCACCCTGCGACAATGTTGCAAACTATGAGAGCTTCCCTGTCGCTCTTTTTACCCTCAATTCCGAGCAGTGTTTGCGCTGTCGGTTCTTGTACCATCACCTAGACGTTCGTTGCAACTCGTCATGTTTTCCTTTCTGTTGCAGTTGGGCTCTGTTGGCGTCGCAGCAGCGGCTTTGATAAATCCCCCAATGCCTGCACCGACCGCTCCTGCAGTGCTCCCTAGGCAAGATACTGGTATCGTAGTCGTAGGTTACCAAGACATTGGCACCGAAAGCGACCAACCTATCTGTGAGTATGCCATCTCTACGTATTGATTTCGCCATCTGACGATCTGACCTTACTCTAGGGGCGGTTTCGACTTTCCCTCGATCGGAGGGCTATCTTTTCACAACTGGCAGCCTCTGGCAAAAGTGCAAAGCGTCCTCGGCTTTCGAAGTTGACGGCTCGAGCACAACTTCTCCATTACCGAGGACAGGCTGCGAAGCATGGACGAGTTGCTTCCACACAACGGTATATGGAACTGGAGGTCTAACTAGTACTTGGTGAGTTGGATTCCACAGATGTTGTGTAAGATGAACCAGGTTAACGAAACGACTAGCGATGGAGAGTATGGATCCTGTTACTCAGATATCATGTTCACCACCTCCGGCGCTTCTGACGCATACACTCGTATCTACTGCGACTGGACGGGGAGTCATCCATTACTGTCTACAACTCTGTACAAGGAGCTTCCGGCAAACGGTACGCAGGATGACACAAACCCTGGACTCTGCTCACTACTGACATATCACAGCGAACCCAACATCAGTCGTATCCCAATCAGAAGCCTCCGCTACACCGGCATCGAACAGCAACCCGTCGCCTTCGGCATCTACTCCGTCTCCCACAGCTAGTCCTTCTAACGAGGAAAATCAGTCCCCTGGTGGCGGCGGTGCGGGCAATACCGCTATAATCGCGGGTAGCGTTGTCGGAGGTCTTGCAGTCATTGCATTCGCTGGTGTAGCTATCTTGTACATTCTTAAGCGCTCGAAGCGCCATGCCGCGGGCGCTCCGATTCCGTCCAGCGATGGCGACTCCACAAATCCCCACGGTACGCCAGAGATGACAAGAGATGGATACCCAGAGGCACCGGCATATTCACCAATGGCGACGAAGTACGGTCACGCAATCAATGGAGGCGAGCTTGATGGGCAGCATGGAACGGCGGAGCTGGGTGGCGTGCCGCTACATGAGGCTGAGGGACGACGATAGAGCGAAGAAAGGCAGACCTGTGCGAAAACAAGAGGCCATGAATGTGGTTAAGAGGGCTGTGGTGTATTAATTAACATAACCGCATGATCATCAATGCGCTTTCCGGTACGCTTACGCGTCGATCCCAAATATGGTGCCAGCCAAACGCTAGCCAATGTCATACCTCGACGTAGCGTCCAGCCGGTCTAAACACAGCGCATCTATTCATTATGTGAGCAGGCAGTTTTTATGAAGCGTCTCCATTCGACAATTCACAAGGCAGACTCTGGCCCTAGCTACCATTACGATCCGATTTGCCAGTCTTGGCCCCGAGTCAGCATTAAGGAACGGCGGCGCTGCGGCGCTTACCTAAGACTGTACCAATGGCGTTTCCTACACATCATAGCCATACTGACATGTTACCAACTTCGGATGTTACACAGAACAGCCTGCTCACGACATTCAAAGCTGGGGAGTGTATCATTGAGACACTTCGCCATGGTGGACTTGATTTGCGGTGTGTTCAGGTGGGTGCAGCACGGGCAGGGAGCCGCAGCCACGCAGGTCCAGGCCGATGACCCAGTATTTGGCCGACCAATGTGTACGCGGGTCCTCGAAGCCGGAGATGATCAGTAGCATCTGACAGTACAAAGTACGGTGAAACAGGCAGTTAGGATGAAAGCGTGCGCGTTCCCCATCTGGGCTGTTTCTTGACCTTTATTTGTTGCAGAGCCTCCATCTGCTCTCTCGACCTTCACAGCGTACGAACACTATGTCTCTCTTGGAAACATACCAGCCTCTACCCCTTACGATCGCTGTATTACTCTTCTTCATATCCGTTAGCACACTCGGCATTACAAGCCATACGATATGGCTCTTGGCGCAATACTTCCCAGCTGGCGCTTGGTACATTTGGAGGGAACAGAGCGACGTGTACGAAGAGCAACAGACAAGACAACAATGGATCGCTGTCGACTATAACGACACTACCGACAGATTAGCACTTGTCCGAGCGGTACTGGGGGCAGCAGCAGGTTTACTAGGTATCTGCGTTTCACGGGTGAGGAGAAGAAGCGTGGTGGAAGACGAGATAAAGGTATTGTTCTTCTCATGCAGTGTATCTTGCTTGCTGCTTACAATTCGCTCAGACATCTCGCTCTTGCTTCCAGAGTAGAGCTTCGTATATCATAGCTGTGATTTTTGCCATCGCATCCTTCACCAGCACACTGACGTCCGCCATATGGTCTACGATTCTTCATCACCAATCGTCCGAGCGTTGCCGCGTACCAACATTCCTGAGCGAGTACAACAATAAATACACTTGTACGCGAGAATTAGCGGCATGCGTCATGTTACCAGTCATCACGAAACGAGATGATAGCGTGAGAAAACAGGCTTGTGATGAGACAGTAAGCATTGGATTCAAGAACGCATAATGAGATACCTGGCAGCTAACCACTATGCCATATAGAAAACCGCCCGATGGCTGATTGTGCCCATGCTTATACTAGGTTTGGGGTTGGTTGTGGGCTATACTGTACAGGTCTGGTCTACTAGGCGACGAACCGCTTGGGAAAGAAGGGTCGAGGGTAGGGTGTATGTTCTGGAGAAAGCTGAATGAATATCCCATACACATTGTGACTACTGACCAGTTCGTGACGCGATCGTGCACTGGTGAGTGCAGATAGTTGGACAACCCGCTGATATGACCATATGCAAAGAGCCTCTATTAAAATTATTGGTCAATCGTTTGTTACACTAATTGATTATGCCATCTGCCCCCTCACCGCACCAGGCAGCGCCAGGCTCGAATGGGTATCCGCCATGAACGCTGCCGGGTTCGCTTCGATCATGCTGACATGGAAACCTTCGCCCGAATCCACACCTTCAACCATAACCCCAGTCGTAAATGGACCTTTCATACATCCTGCACTGTTTCTGACCCCTTCGTTTCCCTCCACCGGCTCCGGGTTTGGGAATGAGATTCGGGGCGGTCCACTAGCACCACGTGCGGCCTCGTGTATATGTGTTGCCGTGGTTGCGGGAGAATCGAATTCGCCTTGAAAATTGTGCAGAGTGATGTTGTAGCAGATCATGTTTGAGGCACTGTTGATGCCGAAGTTAAAGGTGCCGGATGCGCCGGCGAGACCGCCAGTCGGCTCGGTACCGTTTACGACTTCCTCTGGGACAGCATTGATGAAGTGAGTGGAAGAGAAATCGAACAGCTGCTGACCATTAATGACTCCAGCGGCAGCGGCCCCTTCGCCGCCAAGATCGATCGATAGTTGCAGCTGAACTCGGCCGCTGCCGATGTCAAGTGGCGCAGCGATCGCGCCGAGCACCAGGCTTGCAATAGTCGCGAAAGTGATGGTATACATTATGGTATAATTTGTGGATATCGAGTGTTTTCCAAAAATGTGTGTTAAAAGTCTTGTCAAAAGAATGTGACAATAAGAAAGAAGTGAATGGATGAAAGAACGGAAGTGAAGAAAGACTGGTCAACAGCGAATTATTCCTGCAAAAATCTTTACGACTTGTTCCAGAACTCTTTATATGCTGTTCAAAATTTGGTGATGCAGCATACGTGGATGCCTTAGCACCAAGGCTTGGTGTTGGCCTGGAAGTTGTTGTCCCGATATTTGAGGCACCTCTGTAACGTATGCTGGGTTTCCGGCATCTTGGCCTAACCCAACACCCGACGCGGCGCCTTGGGACCTCATCATCCAGACGCAAATTTTACATACTGAGCCGATATATACGACAGAGTCGTGAAGTTTTCTTGGGGTGCCGACGCGCGCACGGTTCCGAAAGTCAATAGTGAATATCACCAATTCGTCGCAGCTGTTTCTCGTTTGCCAAGAGCACAAGTCAAGTCGTAATTCTGGCCTGATTTTGTCTCAGCCACGGATGGCTGAGTCGTAAATGTCGCTTTCCCACTGCCTTTCCTTGCAGCGCGAGATGGATTCATGCAACTGATCGTTGAGGTAGTGATTATGAATGCATCTATCATAAATGGCACAATGACCACGCTTGGATGAAATCGCCGAAATTCCGTGCTGAAAAACAGCAAAAGCGATGTTAGTATGGCTTCATTTGAAATGCGCCAGAGAGGCTGGGTTGTTAGGACAGCTTGCTCAGCTATGTACCCGTTGCCCTGATTACTCATGGCCCCTAAAGTATGCTGCAAGGCTATAAAGATCGTACCAAGAAAGCATGGGTAAAATATACTTTGAATCAAGGTGTTCTCTTAATAGTCTATAGCGAATGTACGAATACAATGTGTGAAGTGAAGACGAGAATATTGCTTGTAAACGATATCCTTGTGGCCGACTACAGTCCCGCACCAGCTCCAGGGAACTTTGAAAGCAGAGACTTGTCGTACTTCGCAAGCTCGGGGCAGCCAAGATCCGCAAGGATGGGGTTCAAAGCATCGGTCAATTTCTGGACAGCAGCCAGAACGTTTCCGAGTAGACCCTTGAGGATATCCGGGGCGGCGGAGTTAACGGCCTGGAATGCGAAGCACATGAGGTTGTTTCCTTCGAGTAACGTCTCAGCGTTGAAAACGCCGCCCGTGAGGTCTGCAATGTTGACGCCAGTGAAGGTGTTAGGTTTGCCAGTGTTGCCGCCAATGACTGCCATGTAAGGAAGTGCTTGAAGCGCACCTACAGCATCGAGAGTGAAGGCTGCGATTCCGTAGTCGTCACCGATGGCGCGACGGTACCACTAAAATGTCAATTAGCCGGCGTAAGAGACTTAAAGTAGAAAGGGGATACATACGTTTTCTGGGATCCTCTCACGACCTGGGGCCCACTTGAAGCTTCCTGGCTGACCAGTAACACCCTCGAAAGACTTGAGTGTCTCAGCGTCAAGATAACCTTCTGGGTATTCCGCGGAGTGGTTGGAGAAAAAGTGGTAGGTGAAAAGGTATGTCGCAGTGTTGATTGCAAAGTGTGTTACTGGTCCGGCCCAGTAGTGTCCGTTGGTCGCAACAGAGTCCTTGTATCGCTTGCCACGGAAGGGATGCATAACTGTCAGGTCGTAGCCATTGGGACCGATAGGCATGGCGATGAGTTGCTCGAACTGGGGAAGGTTGAGAGAGACTGGATCGCCGCTACTGCTGGTTAGTCACATGACTGTGCGATAGCATAGCGTAAGACGTACGTTTTGTAGACGTCTCCTCGTGTAGGAGAGCAGTCAGCCTCGAAGCGGTTGTGTGTTGCACTCAACCCTTGTGGCTCTCCGATCAGCCCAAGACCGGTAACGAGTCCGCCAACCAGTCCGCCACTCTTTGGCTTTCCACCGATGGAGACTGAAGTGATGTCACCACCCATAACGGTAGCAAGCACTGACAAGAAGCCAGAAAGTTCAATGCCCATGCCGAACACTATAACATTGTTAGAAAGCGGGCTGGTGATGTATTAAAGGCGAATATACCTTCATTTGACGCCATTGTCAACTGTGTGAGACTTGCAATTCCGTTTCGGGGGAGGTAACCGTGGTTTGCCATTACATTCAGGCCTGGACATGGCCCACGGAGGTCGCCCGAACCTGGTGCGATCTATGCATCCAACTGTTAGCATTCCATGCACACAACTTCTCGATAACCGTAAGACAACATACATATGCATGGTCGCCAGTAGTGCTGATGCGCTGGGCCTTTGCATCGAATCCAGGTGGTAAGATGCTGGCACCGAGTTGACGCTTCGTCTGTACCTCGTTTGAGATCTTTGCTGCCAACTCAGTGATCTCCGCGAGCTGCTCAGCACTGATGTCCTTGTCGAGGTTGTCAAGAAGGTTTGCTGGGAAGGCAAAAGCTGCCAAGGAAAAGAGAGTGGCGCCGCAGAAGATTGAAGCCTTCATGTTTGCGATCAAGGATTGATAAATACTAAGGAGTGTAGGTATCGACAACGAGTGAAACAACTCAGCACTCGTGGTCTTGTTATATGTAGAGAGCGTGAAGTCGCGATGGCGAATCGCATGAACGAGTATCCAATCATTCTTGATCGTTTTCGTATCGGAAGTTTAATTCAGGAGTGGTGTGTGCCTGGTCATCGGATGGGGATCGTAGCGCATGTACGGGCCTTCATGATGGCAAACCTTCTGTGCGAGCGTAGAACAATGATTCTGATTCTGTTATTAAAAGGCCGACAGAAGGGCCGAGTAGGAGGGATGGCATTGTCAGTGCAGCCTCAAAATCGCGCCTGACACGCTATAGACACGTACTAGCATGCTGATTGAGGCAGGTCGGAGCATTAAGTCTCGTTTGATTGGGCGGGTGCTTGACACCGACGTAGTTGGTTGTGACAGCGATAAAGCCCCTGGTGCGCGCATAGTGTGTCTTGGTGGTCCGGGGATACTAGGCGTTGTTGAGATGGTGGGCTTGCAGTTGCGCTATCTGGGGACCTGCCGAGTCGTGTCGTGGAGGCGGGCCTGCAGATCTCCCAATGACGCTAGCCATGGATGGATTGGGAACACACATGGCACCAGGGCGAGTAGGATCGGCACTCAGATTTTACTTGGTGTTGACGACTCAGAATCAGGATGATTAAAGTAACCAATGCGAGAGGCAAACAAACACTGAGGTTGCATATGTTGATGGAACGCTGGTTCCTAAGTGATGCCGAATGTTGGCCGAAAATTCATGATTCGTTACTATAACGAGGACATTATGAGCGATACCCAACCCGGATATCTGACTATCTCCCACAATCACGGCTAGAGCCTGCTGTTTTCTGTGGTAAGGAGTATTCGCCCAAAGGCCAGTCTTCTGCGTGTATGGGTGCGCGTGTTATGGAGTCTGGCAACGAGTCGGGAGTCAACGCTGTCACACGTCCAGTTTTCTCGTCCACAACAAGATCATCCAACTCTATGTAGCCCTCCTTGCGATCCTGATTCTCAATATCATCATCTCTAAACAGAGAATCCGTACTAGTGTGGCCTGTGATACGTGTGATCTTTTTGCTCAAACGACGTGTGTCGTTTGCAAGTGTGCTTGCGTTATTCGAAGGCTGAGAAGGATTGCTTCCTGAAGCAGTGGATTTCGATTTGCTTCGGCTCGTCGAGTTGTGGTAGTTTGACATCGCTTGGCTGACTGCTTGTTTGAAGAAGACACGGAGTATGGGGATGGACGTGGCAACAATCGTCATGGCGGACTCCGCGGTTGACCAAATGACGGAGTTGTATGCTTCATCTGGGTTTGTTAGCAATAGCCACGGAACGATCTTCGAGTTGTCTTACATGAAAGATCTTGGGTTTGCAGCAGTTCGACATATCTTGCTCTGACGATAGCGGTGGCTCCTGCTCTATAACTCCGTCAGCGCGACCCTGTTGTAAAACAAGGTCAACCCACAAAAGCCCCAAGCTCATCGCTATACCGACTCCAATCTTCTCCGCAGTACGCATCTTAAGGTTCCATAGGACTTTCCATGGTAGTAGTGCCAGGGAAATATCCATGATTGCAGCCCATACTGCCCCATATGTCAGTTACCCTGTCACGACGGATCATTATAGGGTCTACGAACCAGCTTGGAACCTTCCATATTGTACAGAAGGATGTTTGTCAACACACGTTCCAGGTAAAATATCCACGAATGTTTTCGTTAACGGCTTGCAAAGGGTCCAAGGAAGGACAGCTACCGGTACTGCAAAGGCGAAGAGGGTAATGATGGCAAACCAGACGTAGGCCTTCAGCCATCCTTCTGTCAATCGGAGCAGAGTGACGCCAAACGAGATTTTGCTCAAGATGATGGCGGCAATAGATACGGTAAGTCCGGATGCACCGTAATACGTGATGCGCTCAAAATGGGAAAAGTCGACTAAAGCATGGATTAGAGAATGGTATCATGAAGGCTACAATACTTTCTTACTGTCAAGCGCGTGCTTCCCAAACCCCAAGTTTATACTTAGTTGGTTCAAAATGAGTTGAACGAGGAGTAAGAACTGCGTTGCATTAATGGCCAGGTCTCTGCTTGAGTTTCGGAATCACTTACCCAGCTGATTACAAGCAGACCATCGTCGTACCAAAATTTCTTTTGACTTTGGCGGATCCCGCAGCGAACAACGAGGAAGAGAAGGGAGACTCCACCAAGCGACCAACAAGTAATGCTCATCAACGGACCATGTGATTCACTCGGGTCGCTCCTCCAGTTGTTGAACTGGGAAGACATCTGTGCGCTCGCGGAAGGCCGTATATTAGATGCAAGTGAATTGCCCGGTGGCTATTGTGAGATCCGGCGGGGTATCAATCAGGTAGGCATGTATGCTTTGCGGAACCAGAAACCAATGTATAGGTAACAGTCCGTGGGTATCGGGGTGTAGGGCATAAGCTATAGGACGAGCTAGTGCCCGAGGATTTTACGTATCCCCACGGTCCGGCGAAGATCTGGCCGAACCCGGTTGTACGGGTTTCGACGATGCGATGGTGTTGAGGTATGCAATTTCTCGTAGTTTTAATGCCGGAGCCCATAACAGCATCACAAAAGGGTGGGTTTATGCTGGATCCAGCCTCGTCTCGGTGTTAACGTTTCTGGGGCGTGCTTTATGAGCTTACCTAGTTTGGGCTGAAACTAGTGTTCGGGAAGGCTCAGTTGAGACCATGGCCATCGTCATATCCCAGAGACTTGGCCAATCGCTGGTTTTGCAACTGCTGCTAGCCTGCGTGAACGACGGCCCGAGCAGAGGACCCCTCCACTGATCTGTTTAGCACGCGCTTAGGACGCGCGCTAGCAACGGGCCCGTCTGCGCCGGTAGACATTCCGTTCTCGAGAATGCGGCCATGAGTGATGGATATATACATTAGACATTAGTGCCAAGGTGCCATGTAATGCTATCGCAGATCTCTGCCGTGGGGTCAAGGGAGTCGGTATTCGTTGCCGCACCAGGATCTGCGCCCAGATTGGATGATGCCCGCCCAGCTCCCTCATTTCCGATTTAAAGTTTGGTATATGTCGAGCTAGTAGTGGACAGCCACAATCTTCCACGATCCGGAACCAGAACCAGGTACACGTGGATTTTTTTCGGGGGCGTTGCTTGTCGTCCATACATGAGAGCAAGGAGCGATGCTGGTATCCGGTACCAGCCCAAAGTCAGTTGCTAAGCATGCGTTGCGACAACGTCGGGTAGTCGCTCCGATAGGTGAGTGCTCGAGCGACTTCGATACATTGCGTCAGGATACTGCGAGTACTACAAACCTAAAGCGCCAGCAACTCGCGGCAGTCTTGATCGATACAACAATTGCGAAGTGTCTACGTATGTGGTCGCAGCTGCTAGCTATATGACTGCTGTACAGAACTTCAGTCCACATCGCCAGTATAACGAGCTGTTAGGGAACCTTCACTTACTTTGCGGTGAACAGCGTTCTCGATAACGTCCATGTACAGTGCCGTATGATTACTATTCTTCCGCAGATAACAGCGATAAGTCCGTTATCCCAAGCTTCGCTTCTTAACACCCCGCAAACATCATGTATGTTGGAGAACCTGATACTAGAGCATAGCGGATTCACGCCCGATCCGACTACGTTGGTACAGATCTGATCGTGAGGCGAACAGCCACGTGCAGCAACAGTCGCACGTACTGCCACAACTGGACTGACAGATGGACTAGTAGGCCGGGCACCTTTGATTGGCCAAATCTGCTCCCAAAATGCTCAGCTGACGAATGACATCGAGTCTCTAAAGAACCGTACGAAAGGCGGATGACTTCTGCTGGAAGACTTTACTATAGTGACTCCTACACCTGGCCACAGTATGGTAGTGCGTTTGTGGTGCCGTACAATCTATCGAAAGCACTTCGCAGTGTGAACTGGCTGCATGATCAGCGCTTTAAGTTAGTAGGAAAACCTACGTACAACAATAGCGCTTTCCATGTTCTCATCAGAGGAACATGTTGAGTCTGGAAAACTCCGACACGAGTCACTTCAGCGTGTTGGAACACTCGATATAGTAAAAGAGTTGTTGTTTCCCTAGACAAGCAACTTTGAGCGCGTCATTTACCCGGTGGACATTAGAGATAGAGTTTTGGGTGCTTGCATGCGCTGGTCGGCCGCGATTACCAGCCAGCCAGGAACCGTGAAATATCTGTCCCATGCATGGAAATCGAAACCTAGTTGTTGCGCAAGTTGAGGGACCCTGATCGACATCCCTAAACTGGAGTGTGGAAAGGAGACTAGGTTGGTGGGAATCCGGAAACTAGGGTTGAGGTAGCTAGACCTCGAGGCAAAGTTTTCGGAATGACTCGGCCAGCCTACCTTCTTCGGTTTCGGGCTCGCAATCCCCTAAATCAACATCACTCTAAAGTCGTAAATACAACCTCTCGTCCTGTGATCCTATCGGCTTCATGCATACAGGCTAAGGCCCATCTTATCAGGGACGTATGTCTTCACCTCGGCACTGGTTCATTCCATAGAGAAGGCTGAAAAATCCAGGGAAGATGTAAGGGATCCTGAAGCTCCAAAATCTGCTATGAAGCCACGCAAACAGCCCCGGTTGAACGGTTCGCTCCGGTATCGTAGTCACTCGATGTTCAGGACGGCTGCTCGGTATGGTAGCTCAGCATTGATGGAGGGTTGATGAAAGCTGGGTTGAGGGCGCGATGTCCGCCTGGCAAATCGCTAGGACCGGCGAGCCCCATTGTGATAGTACGCGTCGAAGTATGCACTGTCAGACACCGGATGGGAATTGTCCACGAGCGCTGGACTTGAAGTTGAGATGGAAATGTGATGGAAAGTTCGTAGGTGCTCGCTGCGCTGTCCGCTCCGGAACCATTTTCCGAGAACGCGCACGTGGCTCGCCTCCGCACTTATCTTGGCAGGCACAAGAAAGGCAAGAGGGGCCTGAACGACGTCATGTCTTACTGCAACTGCTTGTTCACGGAGGATTGCTTGACGACGTTACCCCGAAGCCGGATTACTATGTACGACTGATGGCGCTCCTACAGGAAGTGATATGCATATGCGGGGTATCGTGGGGAGCGGTACGCAAACGCCTGGGGTAGAATAAGACGTGACTAGAAGCTCTGCCCAGTTTCTTTAGCTTTCCCCATCATGATGGGAACGAGACTTCTCCTGGTGCTTGTAATTGCGCGATGCATATTTGCACAGGATCACATCGACTATGCGCAATACGTGAACCCGTTCATTGGGACTGAAGGCGCCATTCCTGGCCTTGCATGCAAGACACACAATTCTCTCTGTGCGCTCTTTTCTGACAAATTCCAGATGGCGGCGGCGATGTATTCGTTGGCGGAGCAGTACCATTCGGTATGGTCAAATTGGGGATTGATACCTATGAAGAAATGGTCAACATGAGCGTGCTCAATGGCGGATACACACCTGAAGGTTATGTTACTGGCATTAGTCTAATGCACCAGTCGGGTACAGGCGGCGGGCCAAAGTATGGATTTCCATCGCAGATGCCGCTGACGAATATTGATGGAGATGTCAATATACTGGACAACCAAACATATTGGCAGAATCGAGTAGGGTGATCAAATGCGGAGCATGGGTAATTGCTAACAAAAAACTAGGTTGGCGAAGATGTGGCACAAGTGGGATATTTTCGTACAGAGCTTGAGTCTGGTGTGGGGATTGAACTCTCAGCTTCGCGACACGCAGGACTATACCATTACACGTATCCTTCGTCGTCGGAGAAGCACGTACTCGTAGACCTCTCACACTATCTTCCCCATCTGACGCGCACATGGGATACACAATTCTACACAGGTGGTGAAGTCGAAATTCAGCCAAACTCCAGCACCTACACCGGATACACTTCAATTGCAGGTGGATGGAATATTGGTGCGCCAGTTACCGTGTATGTGTGCGGCGAGTTTGATAGTTTGCCTGACGAGGCACGAGCCTTCAAAGGGAAGAATACATTCCCCGCCAGTCGGTACTTCCGATCGTTCAACAATGCTACGACACCTCGACCTACGTATACTGGGTCGACAGCCCGTTCAGGACCGATGAACGACCGCGTCGGAGCAGTCTTCACCTGGAGTAACGCAACTGAGATCAAGTCGCGAGTAGGCATCTCCTTCAAGTCGGTGAACAAAGCATGTGCATACAAGAACTCTGAGCTCTCTTCATGGTCGATCGAAGATACCGCCCAGGCAACGCGTGACGAGTGGAACCGTGACGTCTTTTCCAAAATTCGTGTCGATACTTCAGAGTCGGCGAACAAGACTAGACTGGCGTTGCTATACTCTAGTCTGTACTTCATGCACCTCATACCAAGTGAGCGTGTTGGCGAAAACCCGCTATGGGAATCGGATGAGCCATCTTGGGATGATTTTTACACCATGGTGAGTTTTTTGCCATCGTGTTGAAAGCAGACGTCACGCTGATCACCATCCAAGTGGGATCTCTTCAGAAACCAGGTCTCGTTATGGCATCTGATTCAGCCGAGCTACTACGAGTCCATGATCCGATCTCTGATTGACATGTTCAAACAAGAGGGTTATCTTCCAGATGGCCGATCTGGCAACTACAACGGTCTAGTACAGGGAGGATCGAATGCGGACAACGTTCTCGCGGACGCTTACGTGAAGGGTCTGACGGGTATGATCAATTGGACGGAGGGGTATGCCGCAGTCAAGAAAGACGCTGATGTCCTGCCGTTCTTCGACGAGAACCCTGTCGACATGCAAGGCTCGCTCAAGGAAGGTCGCGGAGCACTGGATGATTGGATACCACTCGGCTACGTTTCGGCTGATCGCAACACGCGAGCAGTCTCGAAGACGGTAGAGTACTCCCTTAACGACTTTGCCGTCAGCCAGATTGCCGCTGGTGAAGCACCTGGCGATCGAGATCTCTATCTTCGCCGGTCAGCGGGTTGGCAACTGAGCTGGGATCCTGAGTCCTCGAGTCGTAACTTTACGGGATTCGTCATGCCACGATACGCAAACGGAACTTTCCACAAGACGTACGACATTACTGATTGTGGCAGCTGTAATTGGGACGACGAAAGCTATGAAGGCACCGCCTTTGGTAAGCCATGATCTTCATCCACACAACTCCCCAATGCATGCTGATGAAACAACAGAATATTCTTTTGTGATTCCCCACGATATGTCGCGTGTTATCACGCTGATGGGCGGTCCTTCGCACTTTGAAAAACGTCTCGACTATGTATTCCAGCCGAATACGTCTGGTGTGGATCTAGGCGTG